GTCCGCATACCATCTACAAAGCAACTGAGGTATAAAAGAAGAAAATGGTGCAGATTTATTTTTATTTTCTTAATATTTTTATGCAACTCAAACACATAGAGGTCTTTAATTTAATGACTTTCATTCTCATTTGTACACATATAGTTTGATGTCACAGATTTTTTTAAGTTTATCTGAAAAAATATCATGTTTGATCTTGTTACTGCACTCAATTTGATTGTTTTACTGAAACAAATGACAGATGTCAGAAAAATTCAATGCATCTCCAAGCTTCTTTTCTATGAATAATAATGAGTTATGCATAAAGGTTTTTGAGCCCTAATGGTTTCACCTTCTATTTTCCTTCACAATTACATTGTTGACACATAAAAATGAAAAATGTTCGAAGTTTTTCTAACCAATCTCAGAATTAAGTGATTAAGAATTAAGTGTGGAAAAGATTCAAAGGAAAAAAAAATATGCTGGTTTGAGCAACAATTTAGAAAGAAGGAAGCGTAAGCAGATCCATGTGGTAGCATGCAGCAGCAGATAAACGTGTTGTGTTGTTCCCAGCGTCTGGAGGACGGCCCGCTGATTCAGCCACAGACACGGAGGCGAAGAAGGGAGAGGGATGACAAAGTGAACCAAGGCGGCTCTGAGTGAATTTATTTTATGACTCACAGGGTCTGCCTGGACCTCAGTGCTCTCCATGCTGTTGGGACTCGCAGACATTCACACCCTCTGCTCACGCCCTAATCTCACAAACATGCATATTGATGTAGCATGGCATGTTCATGCACATGGACTGGCAATCAGATGCATCACTCTGCAAACGCACGCACGCACGCACGCACGCACGCACGCACACACACACACACACACACACACACACACACACACACACACACACACACACCTGATGTGCACTCTGTCCAGATTAGCATGAAGAAAAATATTTCTTTGCCACAAACCTCCACTTTGTGCCAAAAATAATCTGCTTTTTTTGTTTGTTGCTCTGCTCCTCGGCTCACCTTGTACAAGTACATTGTGCTAAAGTTTCTGCTCAGTATTCAGAATGCTTAAACGCTAGTGAATGTGTGTGTGTGTGTGTGTGTGTGTGTGTGTGTGTGTGTGTGTGTGTGTGTGCAGACGCGTGTGCTTGCGGCTATATGGGAGGCTTAGAGAAGGGGGCTCTCCCAAAACCAAATGTCACAGGGATTTAAGTGTCATGAGTGAGTTTGCTCCCTGTGGAATAACAGAGAAGTTCACTAAAAGCACAGGATTAAACAAAGTTTCAACTTTCCCAGAAAAAAAAGCATTCAGCCACTTTCCATTTTTCCTCCCTGTGGCAACACATCCACGGTGCAGAGCTGAGGTTTAAAGATGAGCTGCAGGGCAAATGACTCACCTGCAGAAAAGACATACCTGAAGAGGAAAAGGAAAATGTTTCTAAAATAATGCAAATATATATTTAAAATTTGCCACTTTTTTAGTGATTGCATGCATTGGAATTCCCTAAAGGTGTCCATCCACCTGTTTTCATGTCCTTCTTCTCCACAGTCAAGACGTCTCAGAGGTTTTTGGTGTTCTGCGCTCTCTGGCCCACCCTGTTGGCCGTATCATGTCAGTGGAGCACGGGGCTGTTTATTGCTGTTTGTTGAGATGCTGCTTGTGTTTTCTGGTTTGTTTACTCCTCCTGGTGGCTGCTGTCTGTATCACAACAAACTCTAACCTCAGCCAAGGCCTGAGTGATGCTGGATCAAGTTTGCATTAAACACCAGCAACTGAAGCAGACGTCTTAAGAGGTGTGCTTGGATAAGGGGTAATTAATGTGACATGATTCAGGCTAATGGTTTTTGTACAAGAAACTTTAAAATGACCAAATTATCAGATAAAAGGTTATAATTTCTTCCACATGAAAATCTGAATAATAATAGTAATAATCCATTCATCCATCCTCTGAACCCGCTTGTCCACGTGGTGTCATGGGGGGGGGGGGGGGGGGGGGGGGGGGGGGGGGTTGGTACCTATCTCCAGCGGTCAATGGGCAATCAGGTAGGTCACACCCTGGACAGAGAGCCAGTCCATCGCAGGGCAACACAGAGACACACAGGACAAACAGTCACACACACTCACACCTAAGGACAATTTAGACAGACCAATCAACCTAACAGTCATGTTTTTGGACTGTGGGAGGAAGCTGGAGTACCCGGAGAGAACCCACGCATGCACAGGGAGAACATGCAAACTCCATGCAGAAAGATCCCAGGCCGGGAAGCGAACCCGGGACCTTCTTGCTGCAAGGCAACAGCTCTAACCACTGCCCACCGCGCAGCCCAATAATAATAATAATAATAATAATAATGATAATGATAATAATGATAATAATAATAACAATAATAAACAAAAACAAAATGAAGAAAATTCATATTTAGAAAAGCTTATTTTAGTTTAGGGGACCAACTCTCAGAGGTGGAGTTGTCCTCAGACCAAGAAAGGAAAATAGAAACAAAAATGAATAAAGCAAGGATTTATGGATCTGATAAAACATAGTTTAGCCAAAATTAACTCTAAAATATTAAACTGATGAACGAAGACTGTCGCGTGGTTTCTGTTATGCCATTCATTCTAAACAAATGGCTGTTAGCTGTGCAGAAAAGAATAAAATAAAATGTGGAGATTTGTATAAAAACCTCCACCTTGTAATAAACTTTATGACTGAAGAAAACGCGTGGGCGTTCCTCTTGCTAATGGAAAAGAGATAATGGTGTTGGCAACAGCTGTCGAGCAAAAAAAAACTTTATTGTGAAAATCCTTCTTGTCTCACTTTTAAGGCAAGCCATTTTATCATTTGCTAAATAAGATTATCAAGCGGACTTCCACAGTTCAGTTCTTCCAAGTCAAAAATAAACGCTTCAGCTATAATAACGAGTTTCTTTTCAGATATCCAAATTTAAAAATGTTCCAGTTATCTGATATCGAAACAAGAAGCTGCAAAAAACAAAGCATCTGTATTCATGTTACGACAAGTTCAAAAGCAAAGTTAGACATCATTTATTCAAAAAATGACCTAAACAGTATAAAAACAACACACACACACACACACACACACACACACACACACACACACACACACATATATATATATATATATTTATATAAAACAACACATAACATATAAAAATAACTATGTTGGGATTTTATGAAGAACTTTGTGCAATTTTAACATTCATGTTTAGAATATTAAAGTAACTTCTGTGTAGACCAAGGATCAAGGGTCAAGTTGCTCCAGGATTCTATTTTCAGACATTACATCAGAGCTCAAAATACTTCAGATTTAATTAAGTACTTGAATACTTTCTTGAAAGTATTTGAAACTGTAACTGTAATTTATTGCATTGAGACAAGAGAGTGAAATAACAGTTTTTAAGCCTTTCTGTACTCCTGGAAACTGGGAAATCTGGAAAACGTCTCTTAAAATACCTGAAAAGTGTTTAAATATGATTTTGACTATTATGTGAGAATTCATTCAAGATGTGAGGAATTCTGGTGGATTCCTGGAGCTGAAATCAAAATAACACAAGCATGAGAAAAGTGTTTGTCCTGAGAGGGATTCCCTTCTGAAGTCAATCAGTCTGTCAACAAGTAAACAAAATAAACAAATAAAAGTAATGTTGCGTTAACGAAAGGATGTGGTAGTACCGTCTCGGTTAGAGATACATTTCCAGTTTAGTTTTGTAAACATTTTAAAACCAAGTAGCATAAAATTGCTTAAATTGACTATTTATTGTTTGGATTTTTGTCCTTATTGTATTTTTATTTTTATGGTATTAACCCTCTGGAGGCAGGCGTTTGCAACCTTTAAACCTACCTGGTTACTGCACATACGTATTTCATGAGCATTTTTAACTCAGAAGTACCTGAAGGACTTAGTTGTTCGTCCTTTTTACAAAACTTATTTTGAGCCTGAGAGGGTGGAAACTAGCATCTTCCTAAATCTGATTGTTCATTATTGTGAAAAAGAAATCAATGCAAAAGTAAAAGAGGTAAATCTGCCACAGTCATCCGTCCACTGTGTGTTGCTGTTGTCATCTAAATGTGTCAGACTTTTAAATCTGATGAAGGAAACATCTAAACATCTGACCTGCCACAGAAACGGCAAACATACACAACAATAGATCAAGAGTACTAAGATCTACTAATTTAGAAAATAAAATACCTATAAAACAATATAAAAGCAATACATGTGGATAGAGTAATAATAACGACAAGTTAGGTAAGTAGAGGGCCTCACACGTGCTTCATCATAATCTGCTTCTAGAGCAAACATGATTTAAATTTGTGCCATTTCTTGTTTTTATTTATTTATTTATAAATATACATATTCATATAAATAAACTCTGCAGACAAAGGAAAGTGTCCATTAATCAACATCCAGTCAGATAAATAAGTCTGGTACTGCTGCTGCTGATGGTGATGATGATGATGATGATGATGATGATGATGATGAGGATGATGATGATGATGAAGAGGAGGAGGTACAAGATGCCGAATCCATTAAGTTTAACCAACATCTCTTTAATTTGCAAACCCTTTCCGAGGTTTAAAACCATTAAAAATGTGAAAATAATGAAATCTAAATAATCTCTCGTCCCAGATTTGAAAGGGATTATGTATAATTATTGCGTACATCTACTTCTATTCATAATCATTCTGGTTGCAGGGATCTGGTCTGAATGGATTTATAAAGGGAACAGGTGCCTCTGGACTGTGGGAGGAAACCAAAGTAGCAGAAGAAAAGAAGAAAATAAAACGAGGATGAGAATAAAGGAACTAGTGCTGAACGACTGCTGCGCCGTGCAAATAAACTAGAATTAGAATTGAAGTCAAAGATTTATGTTGTTATACGTTGAAATCAGATTTGACATTAATGGTGTTTCTCTAAAGTGCAGAAGGAAAATTTGTGCAGTGTAGAAAATATTTCTATGTAAAACCCAACAAAGGAGAAGAACACAACCAAGGACAGTGTAATAAGTATTTTATTGCATTTTATAATGCCATTGTCAATAATTAGTACAGATTACATGCAACTAGACCTACTGTACAGTTTTTTATTGTCTGCATGGACAGACACAAGAAGATTCAGGTTACAAATACACAGATATATGTGTATGTGTGTGTGTGTGTGTGAGTGTGTGTGTGTTTTTATACAGCATGAAGGAAAGGGCAGTGACTGGCATTACATGGCTACCCCGGGGAGGAGCATCGGAGGGCTGGGCTCATCTGTCTGTCTAAAGCAAGCACCCAGTCCCTGTTCCCGCCTTGTCCTCGGGTCACACTTTTCAAATAACAAGAAAACAAACAAACAAACAAAAGAAGATAAAGAGGTAAACAGGTAAACTCAACTAAGAATCAATAAGAGTCACTGCTGAAAATGTACACACGTTCCTAAGGTTTAACCAGAGGAGAGCAGAAGTGGTAGATCCATCAGAGTCTGGGACCCTGAACCCTCATGTGACACCTCAGAGCTGTCCAATCACACGCTAGGATTTCATCTCCCTCAGTCCTTGAGTCAGACACCAGCCACTGGGTGCTGTTGTGCAGATGGATGAGGAATAACAGCTGTCAGTAATGGAGATAAGTGAAATTAATGAAGAGTTTTGGAAGTAGCTCATTTTTTTATTTTTATTTATTTTTTATTTTTATTTGGTTGGTTAAGGTTGTGGCATTGGTTTAGTTACAGTTTGGTTACAGTTCCTTAGTTTGGATTAAGCCATGTTGGCTCACAATGCCTTTGGTAGTCAGAGCTGCACCTCCAGGAGCCATTGCACATTTTGGTTTTGGAGCTGAGCGAGAGGAGGGGTAACAAAAGTGTCGGTTAATAGCTTTACAGCCACCGGTGAGGGGTTAGACTCTGGGACGGCCTTTTGGCTCCTGCAGATGATTGACAGGTCTGTGTGTCAGAGTTCAGTCGAGGAACAACAGAGGTCAGAGGTCAGAGGGAGGGGTCACACGGAGCAGGAACTAATGTGGCACTAAGAATCCCCAACAGCACTGCCTTTCTATAGCTCCACTGTTTTTGTTAAAGCAAGAGAGGGGCTACATTTTCTTACTTAGTTTTTCCTCCTTCTCTTTTTTTTCCAGAGGTTTTGGTCCTGTCTTAGAGAGAGTGAAAAAAGTCCTTCTGAGGTATCAATACACAACGAAGAAACTTTTAAGTTTTTCCTTTTGTTGTTCGTTTTTTTTCTTTCCATAAAAATGCATAAATGCAGTACAGAGACAAAAAAGTATCAAAATAGATCTAGCTAAGATAAATATACAAACAAGTCATTACCTAAACACTGATCTAAATGTAATTCTTTTTTTTTTTTGATAATACACCTAAAAAATCAGCGTCCCAGACGTTTTTTATATAAAGAACAGAAAAATGGAATCGAAAAACAAACTATAAAACCAAGATACCTGCAGCACTTAATATGATAAATACATATACTCAGCATTAGCAGTACAGCAAAGGAACCAGAGATGGAAGGTTTACAACAAACAGGTGCAGAAAGGCAAATAAATCAAATCAAAAGAGCAAAACCGGAAAAGAGCAGAGAGAACATTTACAACTGAAGAGTGAGCTGTGATGAGAGGATTTCTGTAGAAAATGCTTCTGTTTGAAGGTTAAACCTTAAAGCACGGCTGCAGCAGTTCCTCCTGGTCTGGATCTCTCTGTAGGGGTGAGTTTTACTGGGGTTGCTGATGTCTGTGGGTCTTTGGATCAGTGAAAGGTCTGAGCTTAATCGTGCACACGTGAGTGTGTGTGTTTGCAGGACTACCTCTGATGATCAGCTTTGGTAAAAAGTCTTGGTGCTGATCAGAAAACTTCTCATCACCTCATAAAACCCTTTCAGAAGAGAAGAGGTGTGGTTTAAGGAGAGGTAGTCGGTATAAACACCGTTTTTGTTGTTGTAGGGCTCGAGGAGACACACAACAGTCTTCTCTTTGCTATTTGTGTTTGGATCAGCCATTAAAAGAATTTTGGCATTTCATTATTATTTCTTAGTAAAAATAAAGAAAAAACAACATTATAGAGCACTTATTCTCCCACTAGCTTTGTGTTAAACAGTTTGGAAAAGGAGGTAGTGTTATTTTTGGTTTTTATTTTGTTTAATTATTATTATTATTATTATTATTATTATTATTTCTCCACTCTGTAAGACAGCCAGCCTCTAATGTGACAGAAATCAGTCCCGTTGAAGCAAGAAAAACCCCAAAAAATAATTTATCTTTTTTTCTTAAATAAGAAAGAGACATCGGAAGTGCAAGACAAAAACTGTGAAAGCATGAACCCATCTTTGAATAACTACGCAAACCTTGTTTGTGTTTAATATTAGCGTTATTTATTAGTTTTAGCTGTTGCCTCTTTATTCTGACACTGAGAAATAACTCTTCTCTTTCTAAAGGTCAGAGTTTTCTGAACCAAGATGGAGGATGTTTTTAAAGAAAAGTGTTTTTTCTTCCTTTTATTGTCTTTAAAAAAAAAGCGTACATGTAAATGTACGCAGGACCTGTCCCAAAATGTTGATTTAAACACAGTTGGGTCTGTGTAAGTGAGAGAGATGGGATTTCACCATTTTAAGTGCTTTTATTTCTTTATACTTTGTTTAGTTAACTTCCGTTCTCAGGTTTTTTTTGTTTCCCAGAGGAACTGTGCGAAGTTTTCTTTAATACTAGTCTTTTCTTTTTATTTTTATTTTTTTGCCTCCAACCTAAAGTGTTCATACTGAACCCTCTCCAGATCCTACTCACTTTGGTTTTTGGAATGGTCAGCACTGTAAGTAGTGGCGCCCCCAAGGGGTGGCCAGGGGTGGCCACGGCCACCTCTAAGAAACTGCTGGCCACCCCAATGGACATTCCAGGGAAGACCAGTGTTTTATAATAAGTCATATTAATGTTCACACAAACTATAAATCTATCTTATTAAATGAAGACATATTGGTAAAAATCGCAAAATTTGGGTAAACTTTCCCAGAGTTACCACGAGGATCAATTTGGTGTGCCACTCCAAAATTTTCTCTGGCCCTATGGTCACGCCTATGAAATTTGTCTGGGGATGCCACTGCCTGTAAGTCATGGAAATTCAACAAAAATAAAGTTACGCCAGTACAATACGAGGAACTAAAACTTGTGTTTTGTTGTCTTTTGGCCAGCTCTTCGAAACAAAAGAACACAAAAAGAAAGGAAATGAAAATAAAGTACAGGATTTTTGGTTTTCTACGTATTTCTTTGGTTACCTGTAACAAAAATAAAATGGGAATAGATAAAAGGACAAAAATAAATTTGGCATGGCACAGTAGAGAAAAGTCATGCTCTGACACTCATAGAGAAAATAAAAAATAAAAAATCTCACATGCTTTTCCTTTAACACAAACTCACACAGTGAATCGCAGCTAGTAACACAGTAACAATTACAACCATAGAGAGCTTAGAGTCGAGGCTGAGCAGAGTTGCCACATTTTGGTGTCCCACAGAAAGAATTCCCCCTAAACGACTACTTTTTAAAAGATTTGGACACAGTTGTGGGCAGAACCTTTGTGGGATGAGGTATTCTCTGACTGCACTTATAATATATATTTATATATGTTTTTTTAAAGCGTTACAGATACTTTTCAACTAAATATACAACCATAAAACAAGTGAGAGTGATAAAGAAATGAAAAGAAAACCAGCGATTTTGGTGGTTAAATAAAAATGTCTGGATATTGGCAACTTTTAAGTGCTTTTTTTTTTTTTTACCAATTTTCTCACCTGCTACACTTTGGAAAAAAAAAACGGAAGAAGGAGAAGGAAAGTTGGGACAATACTGCGCTTGTTGTTGTTGTTGTTTTTTTCTCCCCTCAATACTTGGAATGGTGCGAACAACCAGAGCAAATCAAGCAATACAAAAACAAAGACAACATCTTTTTTAGAAGAGGTACGTCAAAGCAGAGATCCACAACTGGAATATTGATCCTCAAACATAAACAATGATAATAAAAATAAAAATATACCTCAAATTAAAAAGAAAAAGAAATGACAAAAGCTACACTTTTTTCTCGTTATATTCCATAATCACTGACAGTTTTCTTATTTTTTAAAGTCACAATGTTTCTGTAGACACGTCCTCCCTTGTTTTTTCTCACTGCTTCTCCTCTGTAAGTGTTCCATGCTCATCCACGGATGGAGGAGAAAGAAAAGACAGCATCAATCGGTCTTTTTCCTGCAGTCATCATGGGGGTAGGGGGGTGTGGGTTGGGATGTAGTCACGTTAGAAAAAATTTCTTCTTTTTCTTTTAAAGCAGAAGTAAAAATGTTTAAACGTCGTCCGAGGTTCGGGCAGGGAGCTGGGTCGCCCTTGCCTTGTGCTCACACGCACAGACCACTTCCATCAACTTCCTTCTTTCCTCTGCATCTCAGAGCCAGTCGGTTTAATCAGACTGTAGAAAACAAAGAAGCAAACGACTCAAACAAGAAGAGGTGTCGAGCCCCCGGTGACTGCTCCCGGTCTATATACACATGACCCTAGGTGTGTCTGTCTGCTTGTTGCACACACACACACATGCGTGTGTTTTTACCTCTACTGGTATAAAAACAGCTA